ATTTCTAATATACATTTGATTAATGTTTTATAGTCATGGAGAGCATTGTAATTCTATTGTTTTTGAAAGATTAAGTAGAACGAGATTTTAAATAATTTCAATGTATTTTGGTTGCTGACGTCAAGTTTGTAAGAAAAAGGAAAAATTGAAGTTTTTACTATTTCGACATGGAGTCAAGAAACTCATAAAGAGTCAAATAGTTATTTGTTTGTTTTTTGGATTCTTTAAACTCAACAGTGCCCGTTACCAAACGCCACTTTAGCGCTTGTCTACAGAGAGAGCAGACATCAAAATGTATGGGGATGACACTGACAAGTGTCAAAATTTACGTCAATTCCATATAATTTGGTTTTCTATTCTACATGTAGACAAGCGCTAAGTGGCATTTGGCTATAGCTGCAGGTTCGAATGACATTAATTTTTCTACTGGATGATTCTATGACGCCCGAATACTGAATACTACTCAATTGTAATCGAGTAGCCTTTTATTTTTTTGAAGTGACAGAACTAGACATTACGCGACTTACAAATTAGTAACGTTTGAGTATTTGGACATAATGCACTAATTTAATATTTATTTTGTCATTCTTGGTAAAGGATACTGGCAGGGGTTTTTATTTGAGAAGATATTTAGATAAATTGTCGTTTACCAGTTAGACACGCCATCAAGAGGCAATTTGTATTTATATCTTTTGTATAGTGTATCACTACAATAATAATACAACTGTTTGCCAAAAACATGCTTCTTTTTTTATGGGATAAGCCGGTAAACGATCTGACGGATTACCTGATGGTAAGCAATTGGCGTCGCCCATGGACACCTGGAACACCAGAGGCGTTACAAGTGCGTTACCGGCCTTCTGGATTAGAAATTTGAGGATTGTTGGGGATTCAGGGATTGGGGAAAGGGGGGGGTAATTGGGCTTCCGGTAACCTCACTCACATGACGAAACACAACACAACGTTGTTTCACGTCGGTCTTCTGTAAGGCCGTGGTATCAGTCCGGTCGAGCCGGCCCATTCATGCCGAAGCATGGCTCTCCCGCACTTAGTTTACTTTACTAGTTTCGCAGTTACTTAGAACATGGTTTTCTACTCTTACTTATGCTTTTAACTACGGTCTACAAGAGTTAAATAGTCCACAAATCAGTTTAGTAAACGATATCTATCTAGTATGTTGGTACTAAGAATGTGAGTCATATAACTGGCACAAAAGCTTGGACCCTCGCCCGGATATTGTACACTTTACGTGTTAGAACGAACATAACCGCAACACAGTTTCCACGTACATTTTCTAATTAATATTACGTAACATGAGGTTTTCCCCCACATTATACCTAAGTTATAGGAAAGTACAGTAATTATAATAATATATTCCTTTAACGTGATTACTAATTGAAGAGTTTCACAGAATTCACAGTTCACAATAAAATCTTAATTATGTACACAAACTCGCTCACGGCTTTATTCCTTAAACTTAGGACATCCTTCAGTAAAACACGTAGTTCTTATGCTTAGCTTATACTTACATACTTCATTCTATTGAAGTTCATGCATCCCTTCATGCAAGTACGCTGTTAAAGAATGCTCTAATCACTACAATTATAAGGCAATAAAGAATTGCCATTTGGATTTGATTGCACGATATCAAATTACTAGTTCAAGTTTCGATATTTTACTTTCTTATTTCAGTAGTTATTGACGTCACCCAACTCGCAGAAATGACAATACCTGTACCAATGTAATATGCGAACTTGCGAAGTTAAACAGTATGTTATATCTATTCACTAAAAGAGCTTTGTGAACGAAGGAGAAACTTTTTCTAATAAGAATTTCTTTCCCAACATTCATACTATAAAGGTATGTGTGTACAACGAAAGTGACGTATGTTCCCGAATTTACTTCGAAATAGAGTAGAGAATACACAGAGATATAATTGGTACAGGAATCTCGACTGAATCACCGGGACAATTTGAAAACGTTTGATATATTAGGTAGTTAATTTCATACAATACAATATTCTAGGCAAATCAATTCTGTTTTAGTAAATGCCTTTAGAATGTTCAATTTGCAATTCAGGTTCAGTTGTATTGATGTCCAAACATATTGCAGCTAAAATCAGGTTAATATTTTTCCTTGAATTAGTTCATTGAATTAATTTATTTCTGCACAAAGCAAAGTGTTTCAAGAAGAATTTGCTGTAACAATGTTCCACTTTAACACTAATATACCACCTATACAAAAGGGAACAATATGGTAAAGATATTTCGGGTCGCGGTCGCGGGTCGCGTAATGCTGCTCATGAATATGAGCCTCTAGCATGGCTTGAAACTAGTCGAGTTCCTCATTACGTGAGTAAGCCGAAAACATAATAATTTATTTACCATGTCTCACGAATGTTACAATACAAATATGGTAAAGGATCAGAATATCGAAGTTTAGAAACTGATAACCGATTAATCCTATCAACAGGGGATTGGTCGACGTGTCTCGTTTACTAGCCTATACAAGGCACAACCTGTTCACGGAATATGTGACGAAACGGCAGCTAGATTCGAAGGCACGAGCCCGGCCACAGTAACTTGTGATCAGAGTTCTGACTAGTTAGATTGCGGCTTTAATCCAATTTGATGTTCATGAACTACTGTTGATATACGACCCCGGGTCTCTCTCTACCAAGATTTACTGGCGACGAAATCTTTGCACGAATGTTTGCTTACATGACTGGGGCGAATTTAATTCAATTCGACTTTAAGGTCTAGCTGTTGTTTGTTTCTTCTTAGTTATACATGTTCTAGTGTTATTTATTTAATTAGATTTTATATCCTGTCCTTATGTCTATGTCTTGTTCTTCATCATGGCTTCAAAGTTTATTAAACTCCTAACTACGGATCAGATGGACAAATAGTAATTAAAGAACTTGTTTGCTAACATCAAAGGTGAAAGATGATAAACTGAATACGCCATTGATTTTTACGAGCACAAAGTGAATGCCTCAATTGCAATGCGTCCGGTTTCAACTGTGCGTACTTCGTGACGTCATAAAACCGTTTTCGTGTTCAACATCAGTGTCGGCTTAAAATATACCTCTTGTAAAATGTAGTATCGTAGTAACTTGCACGTGTGCATTTAGTTTGTGCTGCTTTGAGGGAGCTAAACCGACGTAGCGACCGTAATGATCGTGGTTGCGGTTTGAGCTAACATCCCGCGATAGGTTCCATGCAAATTATGTCATCAAACTACATAATATTTCGTCTGCTTTGCCAGTATTGCTTAGTTTTCGTGAGTCTTTAAAGCACCTGAATTATTCTGAAATTCATTATTCAATGCTCCTACAGCATCATATGTATCACTTTCATCAAATATGTACTCAAATGTGCTTGAATGAGGTCGCAACATACTCGCGCTCTTTGCATTTCGATGCAATCCAATCCGCCCCTGCATTACTATTCGAAACTAGCCCATAAAAGCCATGAATAAATATTATTGATGATGCATAAATGAATTGATGAATAAACCATCCTATCGATGCACATTTGCGTTCGTGTAAAATTTACATTCATGATTGGAGACGTTTTTATTAAACAAATATCCGTAGGTGTTTTAATACCTTTATGTTTTGAGTAGTGTTCATTAAACGAACTGTGAACGTATCCAAACAAACATTTAAATTGTATAACATAAATCTATTTTGACTGTTTGAACGTCTATTAAGTAGCACATTAGTTTCACCTGTTGTGTTAACAAAGTTCCTAATAGACAATTATTTAATTCATTAATTACAATACAACCGTGTGACAAAGTTTGACACTGAATCCTTCTGACTTGACTTCGTTTCTCAGTAACTTGGTGACAAGTTGTGATAAATGTTAGTGTTGTCTATTATCTTTGAATGCGGTAATATTTCACTTGAATGAAACTATTTTATAACTAGTTTGGATAGTTCTTCGTTATTCAATTAATTGAGACACAATTTGTTAATGAACTCTGAATTTCCTCAGATTTAATTTTAATCTGACTTAAATACATATCGTTGTTTCATAACGCCTCGGCTGTTGTAAAACGTAAATGTAGCCTGCCTGTTTATCCGTAAGCAACGAGAAAGTTACTCATTTCAGTGAATATTAATGAGCTTACTGAAAACAAAACTGTTTAACTTTCTAAAATGTTATAAGCTGTGTTTAAATGTATAAAATTTTAAAGAAACTCCATATAAAGTAGTAATCAAAACCAACTCAAAGCTACTGCTAGGAATAGGTTCGTTAATTTATTTAACATCTGTCTGTTAAACTGAAACTTTGTTATGCAAAACAAAACATTTCCTTTAACATTCAGTTTGCTTATATTCTTCGTTTGTCATGAAATATCTGGCTTGTACAACCATCTCCATAGCCCAACGCATAATACATAGTTAATATCTTTATTCAATACAACCTCGAACGTATAACCTTTTACCCATTGGAGGCTTCGACATTCAAAGTTAATTGACAATGGCTCCATACACGTCCACGACAATATTTATGGTCTGTTTGTTTTTCGATTAAACGTATCAACTGTCGCGTCATCTCCGCCAGACCGGACCGGACCGAAGCTATTTACTCGACATTTGAATATAGAATACGAACCGTTTTGTGTTGATTTGTTTGTTTAGATTGAATCTCTGTCGTTCGCGTGCAGGGTGCTCCTGGGCAAATCTCATTTCAATATCATCGTTACAATGATTGGCAATAAACAGAATTACGATCGTAAATGGTATCGCTGTTACGTTTCCAAATGTCAACTGTTCAACATTTCCGCTTCGGAAAATTTAAAACACTTTTGTTTGACCCTTTGTTTTATTTGTAATGACCTGGATGTAATAGTGGCTTTGTTTGTACGCTTACGTGATTTGGGTCACCTATCCCTTATTATGTGTATGAAACCTAATACGTTACGATGTAAAATGTTATCAATGTATTTTCTTTCTTTGTTCCAGGTACGTATAAAAGTCAACGAACAATCGACTTCTTCGCTAGAAAAGTATTAGACGTCTAAGTTGTCACCGCAGATCGTCGTTCAATTTTGCTGGACCAAGTTGCGGGCAATTCCGTGGGGCACCGGGTTCGAATAAAAAGTCGCGCGAAGTGCAATAAGTGCCGCCATCAATGTCGCGTTAGCGCCAACACAATAAAATAGAAAGTCAATTGGCTTTGGAAAAAGTCGTCGGCTCTACCTCTGTCGTTGGAGACTCGTGAGATCTCGCACGATACGAACGACCGCCCCTCAGCCAGACCAATCGAATTGCTTTTTTATTATTGTTTCCCTATTCCATTAGCTCCTTTATAATGTTAAAGGCGAGGATCGTTTATTAAAGTAAAGAACCCGATGAACACGTTAAAGAATTTATATTAATTTGATTAAGAAAGTAAGAGCCTTCAAAAGGCTTTATTTTTATGAAAGGCCTTTTCATATTTATAATTTGTTTGGAAAGTTGGTTCCTCATGAATAACAGTGAAAAAACTTTAGAAAGAGTTTGCTGGATATTATGAAATTGAATTATTACCGATTTTATTAACTATGAAAGTTGATAGGTTCCTAGAAGCATCTTGCATTTAGACGTTCATCTTAACAAACTATAATTCATCTAAAAATGTACATTAATAAGCATTTGTTACACGTGACATACGCATGTTTAATGCACCGGTTCCTTTGTATCGGTGCGTTGGCAGAAACATATCGTAGGCATAAAATCGAGCCGAGACGTTGCGTGAACGTGTTAACGTAAAGTTTTACATAATTACATACGTGACATAATTTACATGGAGTGCGTTGCCGCCGTGACCGCAAGTTAAGCTGTGCTGGACTATGACGTCAGGTCGCTTTATTTCCTGGACGTGTTAATTCCATTAAATCCTCGCGCGCTGATCCCGAATGATTACTGAGATTAATTAATACTGTTTTCAACGTCTGCTTCACGGAAAATTACTTAACAAAGTGACTACTGATTTAACAAGAAATAAATAATCACGTCACGAGATCGATGATGTTGGACAGTGATTTCCATAACCAGTCGAACCGGTAGCAACTGGTTTCAATCAGACATGAAGAACCTACCTCTTAAATAATTGTAGATACTTTGTATTTGAATTGATGAAGAAGTAGTTGTAATCAATTGAAGGATTATTGAAGACGTTGGTTACGACGAGTTCATATGTAATATAAAGCACATAATACAATTGAATAATTATCCAGGATTTAAAAAGTCGTTATGGTGCTCATGTTTTTATCTGTACTTAAGAGCGTCGTTAACCCGTTTTCCTCACTAATGCAATGTTATAAAACATTCGGAGATTGTACGTGACGTTTTTATTTATTTCTCGCTCCGTCACACGTAGGTATTACTAAATAAGAAACACGCACTGTAATAGCTGGGCACGAGACCTCGACTCGTGCGAAATCGAGAGTCCGACCAAACTGGCCGGACCGTTCACTTTCACTGCGACAAAGGCCTCTTGTTAGTGTTATCTTATTAGCTTACTGACTCTGTTTGTTTTTGACGTTTCGTTTTGTGGCCAATTACGTCGGCCAAGAGGCGGCAGACGTCGGCGTCGTCTGACGGTTAAGGGTGAGTGTTGCCTGTGAGGCTTGCCGAACAAATTAGGTAATATAGGACGTCTATATGAATTGCAAATGTGCTGTGATGAAAAGTTCTATAATTAATCTAAGGAAGTGAAGTACCTATAATCCATTAACAGTGCCGTGTGATATGAAAACTTAGTGAATGTTACCACCTCTCTCCAACCAAGTAAGTGCTTTTATTCTCCCTATTTAAAAACCAAGTTAAAAGCCCCCACGGTTTCCTTGAGGTAAAATGTCAATTGCGTTAACTGCTCAGAACCACTGCATTTGAAATGGCGAATCAATTAAAATAATTATACATAATGTATTTCCATGACCTATTGTTGAAATAGGTAGTAATGGGATGTGGTTGCATGACATGGCACCAATGAGCCAACATTATTTTGTTTTCAACAAAATTGGTCGTGCTTGTCCAAGCTGTAATGTTATTTTATTATTCTGTATATTCTAGTCCCCTATGGGTAAAGAAAAAGAATACAGGATCCCATAGATGTTAGTAAATAATCTTTTACTTCAACGTTACGTATACTTCATCTTTTGTTTCAACATAGAAGGCAATAGTGCCAATACATCAAATAACCTTTTAGTGCGAATTTCGTAAGAGAATGTCAATAAAGTTTCACATAAATGTTAGAGGGGCTTGAACCTATAAGTTGTTTTTATTGTTTGCGGCGACTTTGCAATACATTGTTGGCATTTGAGACGAGTCACGATTAAAGTTGCCGCCTTGTTATTGGAATTCAAATACTTTGAATGTTTCGATTTTAATTATACTATCTGAGACTTTAGGGGCTTCGGCAAAGTAAAGGTTTACTGTTCTCTCTAATGTTCGGTACGTTCGTAAATTTGACTTTAACAGAACGTCTAAATATTTCTCAATATAACAAGTTTTAATTACAGTTGTTTTATTGTTGTTTTTGTGGATACTTACCTCAAGACAGCCAAGGCAAGTTCACCGTAATGTTAAGCTTAAATAAAGTAGAGCACCCATTCGTAACACACATTTAATATTAAGGTTCATTGTGTAATTACGTCGTCTGTTACTCAGTCGTCGCGTTGTGTTCGAATCACGGTACGTTTCCCAAGGATAACGTAATATAACCTGAATATTAACAGTAGTGGTGTCGAATAAATAGATGCCTTTAGGTTTCGTCCTTCAAAGCAGGATATCACACAATAGTGTCGGGTACCTGACACCTTGTTAGAGAGGTCGCCCCTTTTGAATCTTGCCTTCATTGTGTTGAGATGGGTCGTCTGGATTCTGTTTCAAACATGTCTCTCATTCAATGTCTGACAAATGGAACACCTACTTAATTGAAATTACCTATATCATCTACGTGCTTAACGCAAATTCGTATTGGGTTCAATAGCTTTCAAAAAGGGTCGAAATTTTTGCGGAATTCCGTCACCATGAAATGGTAGAAGGATCGCCCACTCAGCCTGCGTATGGCCCAGAAATATATTCTCCCGATGTCGTGTGTCGCGTGTATGTGGGGAAGCTGTCTAAAACATGCCAGTCTCCAGTCTATAATTCACGCTCGGACGAGCCCGACCGGCGCGAGCGGCTTCAATCGCTCAATGTCAATTGGACCAACCCCGCCCGCGATCTTGCGCTCTCAATGGCACCTCGACAAAGAAATGTACGCCATTTTTCTTCGAGAAATGCAATTAGAACGGATGCATTTCTCTTTCGTTGCTTGTGTTGTGCAACAACGGACAACGTTCTTGGATTTTTAATTTAAGCTGGTATTTTCTTGGTTTTATGTAACTTGACATCACCAATAGTTCGAAAAGCAAAAATAAAACGAACGATGGATCTCGAGCCAATTTTACACTAGGTTATTTATTGCTGTTGGAAGCGTATTGATTTTGTTTGATGCATCCGTAGGTAACTTTGTTTCTATCTGATGATTCATGGACTAGACCTTAATAGTATAGAGGAACCAATAGAAGTTTCTGTAAGTACCTTCTTCGTAAACTTTACCAATGTTAAATGACACATTCATAAGCATAGTTATTAACAGCAGTAAGTACCAAGTAGCGAAAAACTTGAGAGTACAAGCTGCATAAGCTAATGTTTCCAAGAGATCGTGCGCGTTAATCAGCTCAGTGGTCTTGGGCAAGCGGTCGCTGCAGAATTTACTGGTTACGCAAATTTTGTGTAACGTTATCATACGATACAGGAGTAGATATTTCTTAACGGTCGGCTTTGAAAACCGAAGCCTTAACGTTACCAGCTCCTGTTTCGTGTGCGATAGTGTAAGGCGATATTGTGAGAGTTAATTTGATTGGCGGGCCTTTACACCCAGTGGCGGGTGAAGATAATTTAATAAAGGCACCATTTATTTACACTGTGGGAAACAGAGGACGGTAATAACGAAAGTCTATAAGTTAAAGATATCTAACTATACATAACCAATCATCATCAGATTGCCTCGATGGCCGAGTGGTCGAAAGTGCGACTGCCGGGCAAGGGGTCTCGGGTTCGATTCCCGGATAGGGGGGCAAAGTAATACTGGGTTTTAAAAAAAAATCTCAATAGTAGCACGGAGTCTGGAAATGTGCCCGGTATATGGCAATAGGCTCACCCCCTATTACATGTAGTTTAGGAGCGGGAGCTAAAATGTCATTTCTACGTATAAAGTGTACATAGAAGTGACGTCACGCGACATTTCAAATCAATATATCGTCGAAAGTATTCGTTTTTGTAAGAAAATAAAAAATACGTGTCTAATGATTTAAAATAATCTACCAGACGGACATTAAAATTTGGCATCTACCCTATTGTAGTTAGTAATTGATACTTGATAGAATATTTGTTAAGGAAAGGGTTGTTGGATAGAACCGTGGGTCAACAATACCTGTTTATATACTGAGAAAAGTTCAGAGTCACGGAAGGACTCTTCCTCATGAGCAGCGTGAGTCATCACCGTGACATCGGTTAAAGTGTTTATGTTTTAAATTATCGAATTTTAAATAATGTATTTTGTTATTCATGTTAAAATTTCAAATTTATCTGATATCTGGTATTTGGACTGCCTCGATGGCCGAGTGGTCCCAAGGGCGACTGCCGGGCAAGGGGTCTTGGGTTCGATTCCCAGGTCGGGCAAAGCATTGCCGGGTTTAAAAAAAAATCTCAATAGTAGCACGGAGTCTGGAAATGTGCCCGGTATATGGCAATAGGCTCACCCCCTATTACATGGGACTCATAACATAAAAGTGGGTGTTACTTCTGAGTGCACCTCTGCCTACTCCTTCGGGGATAAAAGGCGTGATGTTATGTTAATGATTTCATTACATTTCGTTTGTAAAAGTGTGTACTCCTATACATACAATACTATTAAAATAATTTATATAGAGTACCTAAAACGTACATTTTTTTAAATGTAGGTTACCATTGGGTATCTCTAGAGCTGGTCATGGGTGAATTACGAGTGAAATTAAACTCGGCCCGTAGCTTGCGAAATTCATCCGGCCTTTTGAATAATGCAAACGCTTTATTGGACCGAACGTGAATACCTATGCTGGTCATTCTATACAATGTGTTGTTTTTATTTTAACCGATTTAGTGGAAGCTCGATACAATGCGTTATCTTTTTTATTGTTGCAACACAAATTGTATCAATAACAATACGTGGATACAAAACCGAATCGAATCAAAATCCATCTTTAAAATTGCGCGGCCTACGTACCTATACCATAAATTTTCATCGAGTCAATTTTCAGAGAAAAATGTACGTCAATGAATTATGTAAAATACATTTTTTTTTTCAATGTCGAATTTGTTCCGGATTACAAAGCATCTGTCAGCGTCAGACCATTAAATCTAAGCGACATGAATATTTCAGGCTTTGCAAACCTATGCACGTTTGTTTGTTGTTATACGTTTTTATTAACACAAGACATTAACGCTAACGGTTGGCTGCACTCGGCTACGCTCCACTGGCATAAATCCATCTGAATTAGCGCAACGACAATGCGAGGACATTACGTTGCGCGCAAGTCCTTGTACTAAATCAAGCGCACTGTGTAGAGGAATAACAGCTGCAGGCGACTATCACTATAAAAGAGCCTTTGATATGAGCAGTGATGTGTCACCCAAGTTCCAAGGTTCGTTCTGATGTTCATAGCGTTATATCTACTGCGCTACGAACGTGATCGACAAACGATTGCGAATCACTCGTTGAGAAAACGCAATGGACTGTTAAATGCAGTACGATTTTCCGTCTCTGAATTTGTATTAATATATGCAGACAGCCTGGAAAGGCAAACATTCGATTGGAACAGTTGAGAACACTCAGGCTATTATTGATTTTGACAAGGTATGTAATAAAAATTGATAACAGTCATAATCGTTACTTTGTGGCGTGGTCTCGGATTTTATTTAGCATTTTTCTTCTACTAAGCGTTTCTAGAGTAAAACAGTAATATCAGGTAGACTTTACTTGACTGCCTTCACATAAATCGTTTTAAGGCTATGTCCACACTCAAACATTACGAAACTCTGTCGCTTGCGATTTTCATATCTATTGAGAACTGAGTAGGATACAGTCGAAGCTATTTCGTAGCGGCGATGGCGTGCTTGATTTTGTCAGTTGCACAACTGCATGACTGGTCATGTCCCGGTTTTCGGAAATGTGTCACCACTGACAGCAAAACGAGTTTCCAGTTTTTCGTTCTTGTGTGCGTGTCACTTTTTCTGTATCTGCAATATGATGTATGGCAGATTGCAAATAAATAATACGTTATGTGTGACAACGCAAGCCGTCCGCTTTTTATTCGCAATTCTGTGTTTTTGTTCGTCGGATAACGTTACGCCATTGTATTTTCAGAACAGTTGAATGTACGTCATTTACGTAAACGAATTTTTATTTATTTATTTATGTGCCGTTTGATATGGTGTATTCTATCCTCCGGATTTTGACGGATTCCGTTGTTATCTAGCACTACATTGAAGAATAGGATAGGATGAGTTATAATCCTATCCACGACAGTTTTGATTCATGATTTAATGCCGGCATTAATATGGCCAAAATGCATGAGAGTTGTTTCAGTGGGCTAATCCATAATTATCGGCGTAATGTATTGCGACCGCGCCGCTTATTTGTTTGTTAGCGCGTGACTACGGTAATTACAAATTGTGGTTCTGTTTGATACTGTTTGTCT